ATGTTTCTTTTTTTTTTCCAATGTGTTAAAGTCAGGACATAACAAGTAACTGTACATCATAATGTGCAGAAGTGTGTTCTCTGTAGAGGATGTTTACTTATTTTCACTCAAGACAAAACTTGTTATTTGACATGTGTGTTGACAGGGTTTTTTTTTTGTATATTGCCATCTAGTGGTAGCAGACCATATAATATACCAAAAAAGAGTAGATCATACAAGAAGATCGTAAGAGGGATATACAGAGAAGTATAGAGAAGTATTGCGGAAGTAACTAGTGGTCCCAGAAAACCTCTCATCCCAAAAATAGTAACTTTAGGGGAGAAGGAAAAAACATTCTCAGCTAATAATGCAAGTTAGTGTACCAGGATTTTTTGACTGTTTCTATTGGTCAGTTCGTCATGAAAATTTAACCCAATATAAAAAGCAACTGGCAGTTTCAAATTATGCAAAAAAAATAAATAAATAAAAAAATGTGGAGATACATTTGTTTTTTTTGCACGACAGCAGCAATATGCTACTCCTCACTTTAACCAAGGCTGGGATAAATGAGTAGGACTATTATAGGAGTCAAAAGTTTTTGGAACACTCCATTTTTAAAGATTTTATTGACAATTAAGCAGTTCAAATCCATTAAATACTATGAAGTGGTACAAAGGCAGTCACCTGCCAGAGATTAAAAATAACTGAACAATAAACTAAAAATCTCAGTTATAAAAAAGGCCTTTTTCAGTGAACAAGTGAAGGTTAGCAACTTGCAGCTGTTCTGCAGATATGCAAGCAAAATTAAGCTTTGAAAGTTGATGCAAACAATTTCTACACTGTCCCAGCTTTTGTTGATTATTCTGTGAGTATAAAAGTAGAGTTGGAACAGACTGAGTTCATACATCTTTAGGACAGTGTTTAGACAGTACCGCACTGCAGGATGTTGTATATTGATGTCATAATGATAAAAAAGCAACCAACAAAGGAAACAGACAGACCATCATAACCCTTTAAATTGTAGGTCTTTGCTTCAGAGAAATTGCAAAGAAAGCCAGGCTGTCAGTGAGTTCAGGTTCCTACACCATCAAAAGGCACTTTGAAACTGGAAGGAACTCTGACAAAAAGGCCCAAATCGAACCAGAAGACAAGTCTCTGAGAGTCAGCACCCTAACAGGCCGGGTTGACAGGATGAGTTGCAGGAAGAAAGCCGTTGCTAAGATGGCAAAATAAGAAAATAAGTTTGGTTGAAAATGAATGGTTTCTTGGGCCATGCAGCACCGCCAGCAGACTGCTGAGCGCTGGAACTTTGAGTATGCAGAAGTATGCAAAAGTTTGTGCTCCCTTGGTGAAATGATGTTTTGTGATTTTCTAAGTGAAGTTAACACACCCTCCACAGCAGGCAAGTCAAACTGGGGACCAAAGTGCTGTGGAGATTAGCGCTTACCCTCATCTCACCACTGAATTCCAACCCTACCCACAAGCTAGGTCACATCCTGGTTCTGGTGATCACTAAAGGTTCACAAACACAAACGTGTCCCAAATATCTGATGTTTTCATATCAGATCATTAACGTATTTTCTTTCAGATCAATTTAGAAGAAAGGAAGAAAGTGCCTGGAAGTTACTTTAAAAAGTGTTACATTGACTCAGAAACAGTTAAGAAGTTTAAAAACATTTATGGCAGTTCATCGAATACATCAAATATTTTCATAATGGGATCTGAGGTGTTCTATAGGAAACTAGTGGTCTCTACTAGTACTCTAATTTGTGGTTTTAACCCTAAAAGTTTCTCAATCATTTTTCAGCGGGGAAAAGTTATAAATTATGTTCAAAATAATGTTTTAACTATTGTAAACTGTTCTCTGTCAACAGGTGTTTTTCCAGGCATTTTTAAAACTGCCTTAGTGAAGCCCCTACTAAAAAAAGAATAGCACAGATGATTCCATAGCAAATCATTTTAGACCAAACCTCCTTTTTAAAGAGTTAGAAAAAATTGTTTTAATTGTTTTATCTAATATCAAACAAGTTATATGAGAAGTTTTAATCAGGTTTTCTTTCTAACCACAGTACTGAAACAGCATTGGTTTGTGTGCGCTGGTGCACAAAATCCTTTTCTTCTGGTCTTATTGGTGCAGCTTTTGATACCGTTGATCACAAGATTCTAATCCACTGTCTTGAATACCTGGTAAAATTGTAACATTTCTTGTAGAGTCCCACAGGGTTCAGTTTTAGGGCCTTTGCTTTTCTCTTTTTCTTGATTTGCACTGTACATGCTACCTCTAGGTGATGTCATTAGGAAACATAATAAACATTTTCATAACTATGTTGATGATACACAGTTATACACAATGATTATATATTTCCATTCCTTCTGATAATCAAGATAATCTGTGGGTGGGCTTACCAACTGTGTGTCAGGTATTTCTCAGTGGATGGCACAAAATTTTCTACAACTAGATCACAAAAAAAGCTGAACTAAAGCTGCTTTGTGAGAAGTTCAGTTCTTTAGCTTCATATGCCAAATTTGAAGTATGAAACCTGGGTGTAATCTAAATTAATGTCAATGTCAGATCAATTGTGGCCTGAGATGTCAGAAGAAGGTAGACAATAAGAAAAACAAATTAATTCGTCCTCTTTTTGAAAATGCTTTATTCAGCTACAGAACCACTATAAATAGCCTACAACAATGCCAAAAAGCCTCTTACAAATATTGCATGATAGAAAACAGTTCTAAAAAAGACCTACAAAGAGACGGTTAGAAATATTTTGGCTATCTCTAAAATATCTGCAACCATCGACATCTTGTTCGTTTAGTAGCAAGAAAAAATAGTCTTTTAATAAAAACTACGTTATGTAGTGTTAATGAAATGATCGCGAAAGGAAGCAAATAGTTTTCAGTGAATACATGAGCCCTTTTTGGGTCAGCATTCAGTTAAAACTGGCCAGCTGTATCCAGTAAATCTGCAAAAAAAAAAACAAAACACAAATAAAACCATATTTTTCCGTTTTTTCTTTTTTCTTTTTTTTTGCACCAGTTCACAAAGTATTGAACACTTTGGCAAAACTGTCTAAATAAGGCGCATATAAAGGAAGAAAAAAATGTTTAACTTCAAATATATTATAGCATTTCTTCTTACTTCATACACAATACAATGCAATGTATATATATTAAATATATCCTGACGTTTAGGTCATATTAAAAGACTTTAAAGAGACAAAAAGAACCCTACAGAAGGGGAAGCTCAGCTTAAGGACCAGCAGACACATTCTCAAGAGTGTGATCATAAATTTTGCATGCACACTTCGGGGGCAACTATGAGGTTCCACCAAGTTCAGTAAGCAAACAAGGGTGCATGCATTCATGAGTGTTTTAACCCTCCTCTAGTAGAAGCGTTGTTTATCTGGCCGTAGACTGAACCTTAAGTAGCTTTCCCAACGCAAATGTCACTCAGTCTTAACACACAGTTTATGCTCAATAAAACACCATATTACATAACAATAACAAGCTAAAGCCAAAAAAAGAAAACAAACAAAAAACACCCTAGAAGCAGCAAAACTCTATCACTCCAACCCCCAAAATAACTCACAGGAAAACGATATAACAAAAACACAAAATCCTTCACCTTGACTATAGAAAGCATAGAAACAGTGGAGAAACTGGAAGGAGAGAAGAACAGAGGACGGAAGCGTCTCTCTTCGCTACTCTTCGCATTCACAGGGAAGATATATTAGTGGCATAGCGCAGTCCTTAGGAATACATGAACTGGTCATTGCTAGCTGAGGTTTTACAACAATCTACTGAGAAAGTATGCAGGCACAGATATGTGATAGAACCATCTAGAAATTCCATTGGGGAGCAAAGGCACTACCGAGTTAAAATAAAAAAGGATCCCCTACAAGTACAGGTTAATGCCTAGTGTACACTTGCACATTCATTGACCAGTGGTCATCAGTGAAACACTTGAGAAATGAGTGACACTCGCTGACTTCGGGGTCACCTACAGTTACGACTCACTAGCTGCTGGTTAATAGTTTGCCAGCTGCTGGCTACTAGTTGCTAATCGCTAACTGGTGGTTATGCTGCATTCGACTAGAGCTCATAATTTGCTATTTCTAACCTGTGACTTGGAAAAATCAAGAAAATGGTCTCTCAAATGGGAATTCCAACTCAGGAACCTGACTTTGAGTTCAGCAAATCAAAATGGCTGCTCATGCAACAATAATAAAGTACCTCTTCTCTAATTTTAAAAGAGATTTGCTTTAGATCAGTCAACATCCAGCCAGCGTAGTTGGTTAAATCTATAGCTTTGGAGAACACATCATGACTGCTAAAGCTATTGCTTATATAACTAACGTTAGCTGGCTAGATTGTCACTAACAATCCTGTTTTTCTCACTTTGTAGCTTAAACATGCCAGAGATTAGAAATGATGTAATTATGAGCTTCTCACTTTGGAATTAAGTCAAATACAGTATTTCTAGTTGGCAGCTGCTAGTTACTAGTAGCAAGCTCATAGTTGCTAGTTCACTAGCTACTAGATATTAGCTATTTGTATTCAACAGCTGGCTAGTTTCTAGCAGCTAACAACTTCTCACTAGCAGCTAGTCACTATTAAAAGCTGTAGCTGGACAAAATCTCAACACTGGACATGCAGCTACACTGAACATGCAGCAGTCTTAGGGACAGTATAACGATGCATCCTAGGAATATAATAGCTGTAGACTTTTCCCTGCTAAAAGAAACAGCAGCATTCCATGCTCGTTTAAGCTGGTTTATGCTGGTCTAGTGAAGGCCTGGTCCTGGTTTAGTCATGTTGATTAACCAGCATGCCAGCATCCAAAACACAACATATGCTGGTTTGGTTGGTGTCTGTGCTGGGTTTTCTAGCAGGGTTCTGAGCTCCCTGGTTCCAGTTTAGCCCCATTCATTCTCTGGGGGAAGAGATCAAATGAAATAACACAGTACAAAGAATAAAAGTGCCTGTTTGCCAGTCCAGGACACACGCACATACACATTACATGAACTTACAAGACACTTGCATTTTAATTGTGTTTACAAGGTCCATGCAGCTCTCCCACTCTAATATATGTTTAAGTGCACTTTACTACAATGTCAAAAAAATCCACTACACATGGTACTATGTGGAGAAAAACACACAAAGAAAAAGGAAAAAAAAACATGGACGGACAGTCATACATAGAACATACTATGACAAGAATGGTGGGAAAAAAATCTTGGTCATATTTGTTCAATTCAGAAAATACGCATAAAATAAGCTAACGTAAATAAGCAAAATAAACAATATAAACATTCTTCTATCAAATGGACAGTGTTTCAAGTGTATGTTTTGCAGATGAGCCAATAAAATGGAGTTCAGTGGCACTTTTTTACAGTTTCACAAAAGATAAATAGTCTAAATTTGGAGATTAAGACTGGATAGTCACAGTAGTCTAAACACAAAAAGTGCTCAGACAAGGTCAAATTTGGCCACAGTCAGCTGGTAGTCTGGACACAAACCCAATGGCACATAATGGCAGTTATTATTGAACTGCCACCTATTTAAAAAAAAAAAAACTCTACTTTCTTCAGTCTAGTCAGTACATTCACAATGCAATATCACGGAAGAGCTACCCCACCAACACAAAACGCAGTGTTGGTCCTAAAAGTTCTCCATTCTTGGACAGCAATCCAACACAAAAAAAAACTCTTAGAAAACAGAACACGTCTTTGAAAATACTTTCGTCAATGGAGGTATTGCATCCCGCTTCTGAGAGTTAACATGCTCTACATATTTAGCTATTGAGTGTATATGTGTTATAAATGTAATGGCTGTTTATCGTCTGTGTTCCCGTGTTGCGTTTTCATTTTTTCTCTTTTCGAATTTTACAAGAAAATAAGTCTGACATGTCAAAATAGTCCATACATTAAAACATTTGTCTCAAAACCTTCAAATAACAGTGAACTAAACAGCAAAGTTACAAGCAATAGTCAATAACAAATACGCAACAAACCGTAAAAGAATAAAAAGGTCTGAAGTGGTTATTTAGGTGTTATCATTTAGACTCATAGTCAGACAACCTATACAGCAGATGGTGGCAACTTCAAGAAAACGAGTCCCATTTGTGTATTAAAAACTCGTGCAATACTTTGAATTGTCTTTCTTCAGTGGTTGTTTAGGTTTCTGCTCAGCAGTTAAGTTGTAACTTATTTTTTTTCTTTATTTTGCTCATTTTAATTGATTGTTTTTTAGCAATTTTTTTTTTCCTCAGAAAAAATGGCGTATAGAGAAATTAAAAAAGCTGTATTTTTGTATGTGAGGTTCATAAATATAAGAACGTTCCTTCAGTATTCTTCTTGGAGACTGACAAGTGACACCTGGAGGAGTGTTGGGGCAACTATGACCCTCAAAATTCAAGAAGGTTCAGAATGTCTAGTGGTAGCTGGAGTGTCAGTATGTTTGATTCTGCTGGTTTTAGCACTCAATATTTCTCACCAACTATTTGCATGAAAGACTAGTCATGCCTCTTTTCTTTGACATTCTTACACTTATCGTAGGCCCAAGCTTTTCTTGAGCACTAGAAGACAACCAGGCTGAACAAGCTAGCTAAGCTTGCTAAGATTTGCAGAATCAGACCGGATTAATTGTTCCAGGAAAAATATTGGTTAGATTTGCTTCACTCTGTCTGAGATGTAATTTTGGAACCACAGAAGGAGTGATAAACTTTGGCTCTTTGTTTGTAGAGTAATGGATATGGCAGGAGGGAAAGGGGGGCTGGACACTGGTCACATTGTAGGAGATGAGATGCTTCAGGAGGTATCACAAAAGGAATGAGGGTGTCCTTCAGAGAGACGAACATTAGTAGCACTCACACTGATATCAGCAGGCCACACTTGTGCTTCCAGTCTGGGTCAGTTAGTTTCGGTCTGAGGATAGTCAGTCATAGGTTGGACTACAAATAAGATACAGTAATTCATGTTTGATGTAGCTCTAGGCCAGCCAGTCCAGTGTTACGGAAGTCTAGGTCAGTGCTTTTTGCAGTGATGCCTGGAGTAAGCAATGTGTCAGTAGATGAAGATAGGTCAGTAGGTCTGACAGAGTGCAAGAACATAGCCAAAACCTCTGGGCTTAAAAATGTAGGCTAGTAGGTCTGGTTGCCTCACTTTTTCATCTGTGCAATATGTGGTCATAGGGGACAGCTATCTTGGGTAGTTGTTGGTTTGGATTACTTTTTTGGGTCATTTGAAATAGGTCTTTGGCCTTTTTTAGCAGGCGGTTGGTCAGTAGACTTCATGTACATCATAAGAAGGTGTAGCTCAGCAGTTTTGGGTTGTTTTGCTTAGTGGGACTGACGCACGTCAAAGGTCAATGGTGGGTAATCTCAGTAGGTCTGGTATATGTCATGAATAGGCATCTGGAAGGTGGCGGCAGCAGGGAAGGCCTGGGGCACGTACCCGGCATAGCCTCCGTAAGCTGCTGCCACGGCTGCATTCTTCTGCAGCGCTGCAAGGGTGGCCGTGTTAGCATGGGTGGCAATGGGCATGTAGCCAGCACCATACAGACTGGCAGCTGCCGCTGGGATCCGCTGGACGTTAGGAGCCATCGCGTACACAGGAGTGATCGGACGACCCTAAGAGAAAGACAGGGTGATAAGTAAAGAGACATTTGGAGGAAATATGATAAGATCAAGTTTTCTTTTTTGCCCACCATAGTGGAAATGTGTCTTTGACTCTCCCAGTGGGGAACCCTCAGGGCCTTCTAGGCCTTAAGAGAAGGCCTAATGGTTTCAGGGAACTAAACGTCTGTAAGTTCATTTATTAGTATTGACATGCTGCTTATTTTTACTCCTGACGCTTTAAAATACTGTAGGAAGACTTTTACTGTGCTGTTAAGTTTTAGTTTGAAACAAAATGGGTTACAATCTTGAAACTCAGCAGAAAAGTGTTCATCTGATATGCACTCTATGTCCAAAAGTATCCAAGCAGGCCTTCTAATTAGTTAATTCAGCTACTTTAAGGTGTATTCATTGCTGATCAATTGCACACACGCTGCTTGCATAATCTCCATAGAAAAGCACTGACCAATAGAAAGGGAGCCTAAGGTCATAATACTCAAATGTCAGCTAGAAGGCTTTAAAGCTCCCCATCACTGGGCTGGAAGCAAAGAAACCATCTGCCCCATCTGAGTGATGGCGCCCCATCCAATACCTGTCATGAGCTAGTCTGTCATTCAGCATCAGTACCTGACCTCACTAATGCTCGTGTGGCTGAATGCAATCAAATCCTCACAGCAACTCTCCGAGATCTGGTGTAAAGCCTTCCCAGAAGAGTAGAGGTTGTTACTGCAGCAAAGGGTAGACAAACTCACTTCTAATACTGTTGATTTCAGAAAAAACACTGGATAAGCAAGTGTCTACAAACTAAATATATAATGTAGAACATTCACATGCATCAGCTTTAGCTTAGCTGTAAAGGCTGAATTATGCTTAACGTTAAATACAAATACGGACGAAGCCTGTCCGCACTCTGCGTTCATTTCATTTGCATGGGCACGTTTTCTGAAAGCTTATGGATGCAGATGAAAAGGAGCAGTACCACCAGAAACCGTGGAGACAGTGTAGCCAATAGTTCATGTGAGACGCAATATAAATTTCTGGTAATATAAGTGACAGGAATTCTCTGTCCACATGTCACAAAGTATCTAAAGGCCTCAAAGACCACCACAGTCTACAATGGTATCTCTTTTGACTCTTTCATAGTTGGTACATTATTACCACCTCCTCCACCGTTGACATTTGTTGTTGTCAGGAACTTTTAACTCTGGACTGCCCTCTAGTGGATGCTTTACTTAACATCCATGCCAACGTAAAGGACACGCAAAAGTATGTGGGCAGTGGTGGTTACAATGTTTGAAAGGGGCGTATTCTTTTTTGTAGGTAAAGAGAGTATAAATGAGCCTTAACTTGTCTCACAGGTCCAGACATGTAACGAGAATGTCTGTGAACAACCATGATGAATTTTGGGCTAAATGTGGGTGGACATGTAGCTCTATTAGGGTGGGAACGAACAAAGTAGGGGGGGCGATGGTGCACTCCTTAACACTGGCTAATGTTCAACAAGCTTGTCATTAGCCAATAGATGTTAATGACATAAGTGTGAGATCACATCTGGACCCACAAGTGCTGAAGTACTATTAGAATCCCATAGAGGCACTAACAGAAATTAGCATTACTGTACAGGCGTGTTTTTACTTTTATTGGTCTGAACTGAAGCCCTTGATCTACATCTACAACATAGCCTACATAAAACATATAATATCAAGCAACAACATTGGGTACAGAGTTATTTGGTTGAATGGGGAAACACCTAATCCTAGAATCTCTAGAGGAAGAGGGACATGGGAAGCGAAGGAGACACATCATTTCCATTATTTCCATTAAACCTTATCTAAAAAAATCAAGTCAGTTCATGAGCTGGGAAATGTTTCTCTTTTCAAGCTGCGGTCAAGCCAAAGTTACAGTAAACAGAAATTGACTAAAAAGGAACAAAAAGGGCAATGCTAAGCAGGAATCGTCAATTCATTTAAAAGACAGGTTCAAACACATTCTGTTATTGACTGAAACTAATTATAATCCATGCCACTAGAGAACAGCCAAAAGTACTGCAGTATTGAAGAGAATGGCAGATATTGCAATACTCAAAACAGGTGAGTATTGCAATATCTGCCATTCTCTGCAATACTGCAGTTCTTTTGGCTGTTCTCTAGTCAAAGTGTGAGCAGCACTGCATGGGTGGAGAACTTGCTGAGTGAATCCCATATTGCTTCCAGTATTGCTCAAGACACATATTGTGTTATGTTAACACAATAAAATGCCTTTTGGTAGGCAATTATTTCAATTATGTGCTCTCTCCATTGCTAACCTGGGGATATGTTTGGGAAGTTGTCAAACTGGTTTCCATATTAGCTGAATATGGTGACCCAGTGACATCATTGGTGGCTCTCTACAGATTCAGTCATCCAAGTGAGATGACAATGAACAGTGTTCCTCAACCCAGTCCTTGGGGCCCATTGGATGGCCCAAGCTGCAGAGACTGGATTGGGAAACACTGAACTATAGCATATAATACAAAAACAAGTAGTTGTCACTATATGTTCTACTAAAGCAAGTTTAGTTTACTACCTTTTCTAACTTGCAGCTCACACAACTAACCACAAAAGTTTCCGCAGCCCACAAGATTTTACCGACCAGATCATTTAAAATGCACACAAATTACTGCAAAAAAATTAGTTTGGCTTCAAATATTTATTCTAAAAAGACCTCTGAGTATTCAGCACAGAATGGTAGTTACTAGTTTTCTGTTCTCGGACATGTGAAGCCTGACAGCCTTTACACACCTAACGCGATTTATTCATGCAGTGTTTTGGGCGACAGTAAATTAATTCAGTCACATGTATAACATATGACATCTTGCACACCAAACAAAATGATCATGAAAATGCGTCATTATTTTATTTATGCACTTTATATATACATTTGCTGGTAACAGGATTAAATTGCCTTCTGCTTTCTCATAAATGTGTTAGCATCTCCAGAAGCTCAAACGGAGCTCAAACTGAGTTACAATCATCCAAGCAGTATCCAAAAGCTCTCATAAGGTTACAGCTCCTGAATGAGGTGGTGAAACTCTCCATATGTCTTTTCCTTTACAAAATTCTGCTTAAGTTTGATCTTTGAGTTTTGCACTGAAGCTACAAGGCTAATGTGGCTAACAAGTGATGGGCGTTTATACCCACTCATTAGCATTGTGCAAACTGCACATCACCACCTGGTCTTAAGCCATATTGAGTTAAGCAATCCCAAATAGACTTGCTTATGTTGTTTCCAATTCTGTATATCATACTGTTATTATAAAAATGACAAAATTATAGACAGATTTCAGGCTTCAAAATGGCTGTTACACTGTTTCGAGCTATGCGGCATACTTTACTCCAGTTTTATAGATGACAGTTTGTCATACAGTGTCAAAAAACACATACACGTATGTTTGAGTTTATTTGACAGTCTACTAATATTACTAATATTACTAACATTACTAATAGCTAATAGCTATAAGCTTTCATTACTTGTTAGCTACATTAGCCTTGTAGCTCCAGTGCAAAACTAAAAAAGCAGACATCTGACACCAAACAGGTCTTAACTGATTGACATCATTTAGCTTAAAGTTGTGTAAATTTGATTTTTGGGTAATATGTTGAGTAAATAACTGTGTCTTGAAATCCCATGACCACAGCAGCTGTCGATTATGCTTTATAAGCTATAGGTCAGTGTTTTCCAAACCCTGGGGCTTCACCTGAACGAGCAGCTAAAATGTGGACTGCTTTAATGCTAGCTTTTCACTAGCCTATAGTTCCTTGTAAGACTTGGTTCCACTGTAGTACCTGAAAGGGTGGAGGCGTGGAGACTGCAGGGATGACAGCAGCAGTGGCAGTAGCAGCTGTAGGGTCATGCTGGAGGGCCAGTGGGTTCACTGGGTGCATCTTCCCTTCTTCCACCAGCTTAGTAGCAGCAGGAGCAGCAGAGAATACAGCAGGGTACTGTGTACCTAGAGCTGGCAGAGCCACTACATGCACAAACACAAACGCAGTACAAATTCAAAAATCTAACACAAGACAACGGTGTAATGTTATGTGATGGAAAATATGTAATATTTGGTGGAATGGTATTTACACTGCCTGTCAAAAGTGTGGGACATCTAGCTTTTCAAGTACAAGTAAGCATGTTTTCTTCATCTGGATGGTGCTATACCCCATGCATTTTATCCCCTTGTTGTGATTTTAGCATTCAAACTGTTCAGGTGTTCAACCCACCTTTGGAGTAAACGATTTTCAAAATGTTCTTTGTACATGATTTTAGATAACAACATTTCATACACTGTCAGAAACAATGAAAGCAAGTATATTTGAGATCACTTAACAACTATGGTAAGTGTGTGATGATTTAGTTTGCTCAATGCTAGCTGGAGACAAGCTTCCATCATTTCCCAGCTACTTATAAACTCAAGACTATGATGGTAGCCACTTAACAACCGACGCCATGCTGTTACCACCCTACCAAATCAACGCCACACTGTTACCTACCTAACAACTCGAAGGCACCTAGCTAACAGCTTGATGCTTTGCTGTTAGCTACTTAACAACTTAATGCTACGCCTTTGCTTAACAACTCAAAACTACAATGCTACATACTTACCAACCTGCCTTTCTGTTACAAGGTAACACTATGATGTTACCTACTTGACACAAAGCTTTGTTAGCTACATAATACCCTGATGCTACACTGCTACCTACTTAACAACTCAACGCTATGCTATTAGCTTTTTTAAAAACTCAACAATACACTGTTAGCTTAACAACACAACACTACGCAGTTAGTTTTAACAACTCTAGGATATGCTATTAGCTATTTAACTACTTAACAAATGAACGCTAAAACCACTCAATGCTATGCTGTTAGCTACCTAACCACCCAACGCTATGCTGTTAGCTACTTAACCACTCAAAGCAATACTGTTAGCTACTTAACCACTCAATGCTATGCTGTTAGCTACTTAACCACTCAAAGCAATACTGTTAGCTACTTAACCACTCAAAGCAATACTGTTAGCTACTTAACCACTCAACACTATGCTGTTAGCTACTTAACCACTCAAAGCAATACTGTTAGCTACTTAACCACTCAAAGCAATACTGTTAGCTACTTAACCACTCAATGCTATGCTGTTAGCTACTTAACCACTCAAAGCAATACTGTTAGCTACTTAACCACTCAAAGCAATACTGTTAGCTACTTAACCACTCAACGCTATGCTGTTAGCTACTTAACCACGCAACACTATGATGTTAGCTACTTAACCACTCAATGCTATGCTGTTAGTTACTTAACCACTCAAAGCAATACTGTTAGCTACTTAACCACGCAACGCTATGCTGTTAGCTACTTAACCACTCAACGCTATGCTGTTAGCTACTTACCCATGCAATGCTATGCTGTTTGCCAGTTAACCACGCAACGCTATGCTGTTAGCTACTTAACAACTCAACGCTATGCTGTTAGCTACTTAACCACTCAATGCTATGATGTTAGCTACTTAACCACTCAACGCTATGCTGTTAGCTGCTTAACCACTCAACGCAATACTGTTAGCTACTTACCCATGCAACGCTATGCTGTTAGCTACTTAACCACTCAACGCTATGCTGTTAGCTACTTACCCATGCAACGCTACGCTATTAGCTACTTAACCACTCAACGCTATGCTGTTAGCTACTTAACCACGCAACGCTATGATGTTAGCTACTTAACCACTCAACGCTATGCTGTTAGCTACTTAACCACTCAAAGCAATACTGTTAGCTACTTAACCACTCAACGCTATGCTGTTAGCTACTTAACCACTCAACGCTATGCTGTTAGCTACTTGTTACTGTGTAACAACTTCTTTCTAATCATTTAGAAAAGAAAACTGTAAAATCATTATTCAGGCAAAACCTCATCTTCACACAGAGCAAGACACTGTTCACTGATGAACATACCTAAAGTATTAGTAAATGTTTTATGCAAACTACTGCAGGTTTTCATACTTAATTAAAAAGTAACAGGAAAAAATACTTTGAAAATGTCTAAAGAAGGCAATGTGTCCCAAACGTTTGACAGGCAACGTATGTAAAATGTGAAATAAAGATAACTGGCAAGGTTACAGAGCAGTGGGAAACAGAGAAAACAGAGCAGAAACGTTAAGCCTAATTCAAGCCAGGCACTATAACACATAAATACACTAGGCAAAAACACTAGAGGACAAAGAGAATGAAAGAAAATGAGTAGGGAAGTTCAGACTTACACAACCTGCTCTCAGTTATGGCAAGTGACTTGGCTTAAGATTAACACCACAAACCACATGCACACATACATGAATCCCCATTGTTCCCACGGACAAAAACTCTTTTCATTGCCCGGGTTAATTCAGATTTAGGATCAACCGGTTTAGCTGACGTCACAATATTCCTGTCAGGAGTTAGAGAAAGGCTCGCTGATCTGAGATCAGAGCGACTGAGGGATCAAACAGCTCAAACAGAGGGCGGCAGGTCTGCTGATTTCACAAGAGAAGCGTAAGGAAAGTGATTAAAAGCCCCGTAGCTTTGCCCAAACCAGCTCCACAACTTTCTAACAGTAAATAGTTTTATGCTGAAAGTTGTTCAAGCAGAATGGACATGCTTTATTTGAGACGGAAAGAAAAATCAGAAGTTTGAAGAGGTAGGAAAAAGTCACATTCTGTTATGAAGCAGGTGGTAATATCTTTGAAATAGGGAGATGTTTTTCTCCAGTCCAGTAGGGGGCAGCCAAGTCAAATGCTTGTCCTTTTTTTTTTCAGGCCGATTACTACTCTGCTTTGTTGCTGAAGTATGCTCAGAGGGGGAAAGTAATAGATGAACTGCTCACAGTTACAGTGCTTGAGTACACAGTACATTTTTGACTATAGTTAAATCTCATTTTTAGTAATTTTCAACAAGGCTACTTTAATTTTTAAAAACAATTACAAAGCAAAACCTTCACTTTTCACACCTGGTAGCCAATAAACTGAATGAAATCTTGAGCTTCAGACCTCCCTTCTATAAGGTGAATAATGAAGTAACTTAAAATAACTATTTGTATTCAAGTTAATTGTCACTAATGGTGAATTAGAATGCATTTTCCTTTCATACTGTGACATATTTCTAAGTGAAACATGGTATCTGGGAGGGTCTCTGAGCTAGCTGAGTGATTACTTTCAATGATAGGTGGGGGTGGGGCAGGTGAAACATGATATTATTGGTGATATTATTTTTCCCAGCCCACTGGTGCAAGGTGATGTCATCAAAGCTCAAAAGTTGTTACATCTGTCTGATGAACAGAGGTAGGTAGTAACTATACACCTACATGTACTACATGTACTTTTTAAAAAATATTCTATGTTTTGTTTGTGACAACATCTGTACTGCTTCGTGATTGGTCACATCTCTGACTTTGGAGGTTTGGCATTTTATTTTAAGACCAAACAGATTCAGAAAGAGAAGAGTGTAAATAACTCCTACACTGATAGATCCTGGACTTACTAAGGACTTCCATAAATGAGCTGTCCATTGAGTAAGTTCTATAAATTACTCAGTACTTAAGTAGTTTTTTGACCCAATACTTTTGCACTTCTACTCAGATTGTTTTTTTGGGAAGGTAATTTTGCCTGAGTCATTATTTTACCCAGTTTTTAATACTTTTCCTGAGTACTGATTTAGGCTACTCACCTCTGATGATGAATTGTGCTTAATATGACTCGCATATGTACTAGCAAGGTTAAAAAAAGGTAAATTTTGATTTCAGGTTGACTTTAGTCATGATTTTTTTAATTCTCTTTCCACCCCTGAGTATATTTGGGTAGTCTTGAAGCCAGTTTCAGTTGGAATATACTCTGGCTTTCACTAATCTAAAAGTTGTATGCTGAAAGAACTGCAACAATGGCTGCATTTGCGTTTCGCTGGCCCTCTGGACCTGAGTAAAGCAGAAAGTTGTATATGTATGTGTGTCAGTATATGTGTGTGTTTGTGTTCGAATTACACACTGACTTGTGCCAGGCTTAATGCCCACTGGGTTAACAGCTGCCAGCTCCAGACTGGGCATGAGCTCATAAGGTTTGTCCGGCAACTTGGTCTTTCCTTCATGGTAGCGGCTGTAAATGCCTCGGCCGGCTGAGTAACCGCCAAGGTATGAGCCACGGGGCCCTGGGCCCCTGTTACCGGCTCCGGCTCGGCCACGGCCTCTTACAGTACCTGCTTGAAATAAAAGTGACAGGGGGCGATCTTCAGACACTGACAGATGCCACTATCTCATGTTTTTTTTGCATACAGTAATATAAGGAACATTACTGAGAGATATTGAAAGGTACAGACAGACTGCATTTTAAGCTTTAAGAAAAAATTAGCAAATTTAGGAATGACCAATAATGTTTAATGGAATTAACTTCCACTATGTTTCTTTCACAGCAGGCCTACATATGTATAGTTATACTGAGATATTTATATAAACTGAATAGGGTGACTTTATGTCAGTGTTATCTTCCATGTAATTGCATAATGTTGTGGTAACTGTGTCTCCATGTTCCTGTGATAGCTTCGAGGTTTCGTGGTTCTGCAACAACTTGACTGATGGCAAGTGTAGCTGAATGGATGTTATAGTGAAGATGTCACATGATATGGGAGAGGTTTGTTTTTCATTGACATAAGGAATGGCTGATACAGCACAGAAGATTGAGGAAATGAACTTGGGTGTGAAATCAACTCTGTTTGTTTAACCCATGAACAAAAATGATCTTGCACAACTGCTACCAACCAAAAACCACAAGGATCAACAATTTGTGATTTGGGTTAGGAAACTCTCAAACAGTATAGATTCCCTTGAGAGAACCAGCTTCATCATCATACTGTATCAAGATCTCGGCTGTTTCTTAGCTTCCAGCCCCCACTCAGCCTTGTTCTTTAAACAATAATGCTAACATCTGATAAAATTTGGAGTCACCTGAATTTGGATGGTGCTAACTGGATCCTACTAGCTTTGACTCTTTGTTAACAATGTTAGTATTTTTGGGCCAAGTATGCCACTCAATTTTTTTTGTGTATACGAAATGTAGAAGTGTTAATTCATGTTACATCAACTGTTACATATTTAGAAGACGTTAATTGAATGTAAATGAATTTGTTTCTACTGACTGCATTTATGGCTAGTGCTAACAAGCAGCACTAGTCATGAATTTATTAATATGGTCTGAAACTCAAAACTATTGAATAAGATCTTTAAAAAACTAAAGATTTAGGTAACTAGATCTAAACATTCTGCATACAGCAGTTGAATTTCCTGGAAATTAAGGGTGCTTAACCATTAATAGAGTCATACTGTTGAAGAGAGGAAGCTCAGAAACAGCACAAACATTCGAACCCTTATGATACTTGAGTCATTATGGACCAACTCAGTATTACTATTATTCAGAGTGATTGTCATCAAATGGCACTGCAGTTATGATGTGATTTTTAAAAAAAAAATCTGCATATTAGTCATCCTGATGGATCAATTTCCCACCATAGTAATGCCAGTCTGAGAAGGAAAAGAAGGAATTCCAAAAGGCATCTAACCTTTAATGAAGTAGTCACGATTGGGTCCGATGAGAGTATTGTAAGGGTAGCCATAGTAAGCGAGTGTGTAGGGATCGCACTGATATACGTAATTCTGCTGTGTGCTGTCGCCACTGGCCAGGGCCGCGGTTCCCTTGGATGCCTTCTGATAGCGAGTGTATTGCTCTTTATCCACCGGCTTGGCCAGCGTCACCTCGATGCACGAACCCTCGATCTCCGTTCCGTTCAGGTTGTCCATGGCGACCACGGCGTCCTCCCTGCTGGTGAAGTGAACGAAGGCATAGTCGCGGATTTTCTTTACGCGTTCTACACAGCCTGGGTTGAACTGGCTGAAGGTCTGACGGAGCATCTCCTCACTAGTCTCAATCATCAGATTACGCACATACAGGATCTTCACTGTTTCCATGATGTCCTCGTCAACGTCAATTTCTGGTTCGGCCCAGTCAACCGCAATCTGGTGTCCCCAGAGCTGTATACAAGAAAAGGTCACTCAAAGGTCAGAGTTATAAAAACATTCAGCTACAGATCTTTTGCTAAAGAACCAATTTTGAAAACCAAGCCTATGTATCAATGGATCCTGTCTAAAAACCTAAAAGGTCTTTCTCTTTTTGCTAAAGACACAGTAGACCCTATAAATCAACTGTTCTCATCCCTGGTCCTGGAGTGCCCTGGCCTCTGCACATTGTGTTGTTTTCCTGCTCTAACACACCTTATCTAAATAATAAGCTAGCCAGAGAAAACATTAAAATGTGAAGGGTAGGGGCACTCCATGACCAGCATTGGGAACCACTAGTTTATGCAACTGGGTAACTGGTAATCTGCCTGCATCTGGATGTCTAACCTGAATGCGTCCAGGCATGAGTTTCCTCCTGGCCATCGCAGCTGCACGATGAGATTCGTACTCTACGAAAGCAAAGCCACGGTTCTTCATTTTATCTGCCGCACTCGCATACACGATCACATCGAGCACACCTTCCGTCACTTTAGAGACCTCCTCCAGGATTTCCTCCCGTTTCTTTGTCTTGGGGATCCCACCTATAAACAGGCGGCAGTTGTCAACACTGGAGCAGACGCCCAGCAACCGTCCCGGGCGCACTTCATAATTGTTCAGCTCTCGGACAGCACGCTTGGCTTCGTGCTTCTGTGTGTACATGACAAAGGCGTAGCCACGGTTCTTCCCGTCAAAGTCCATCATCAGACGCATCTCGTAGATTCGCCCCACTGTCTCAAAAACAGGCACCAGCTCATCCTCATAGACGTCACGAGGGATCTTGCCCACGAAGATCTCGCATCCGCGTGGAGGGGAGGGGCCTTGCCAGCTAGGAGGTGGGCCGTATTTCCGCTGTCCATTTTCTTGCACCATCCGGTAGCCAGTCCGCTCCATCAGGGCCAACAAAGCGCCTTCGTTTGGGGCTCCGGCCACACCCTCCGGGATGGAACCATGGTGGCCTGAGTGATTGGGTGCTGGCTTAGAATTTGAAGAGGGGCTGGAGTTGCTCATGGTGACGGCAGAGGCGGAGTCTTCCGCTGTCATTCTGACACAAGCTTCCAATCAGAACTGGAGTCTGATGAGAGAAGAGGAGCATTTGATTAGTTTTGTATTTGTAATAACTCTGTAGATAGCGGAGGGTAGTTTACGGTCATTGTAGTAACACTTTATTTGAATAGTCCAGAGCAGATGTTTACCTTATCTTTAACTTACATTCAACCAATTGCCGGAACTTTTTAACTAATTACCATGACCCTAACCTTAACTTTAGAGATAATTAGAGATAATTAGTTGACTTTTCCTTGATTAACCCTAAAATTAATGTTATGGATAATCTACAGAGAACTGTCCAGGTAAAGTGGGAACATTATTACCACGTAATACATCAACAGGTCACTATGTACAATTTGCGTAGTGTTTGTCTTGTCTTGCATGTTGTTTCTCTTACTGTCAAATCTTGACCATAATACTGAACTGATCAACATAATATTAAATCCAAATAACACTAAGGTTGTGTAGTAATGAAGAATCTTGAGAGAAAAATAAGAAATATTCTGAGTAACCTGGACTACTTCAATGTATGAAAGACTACTACAGCTGAAGTTTTTCTTTTTCACCAGAAGAGGGCAATTTGGTCATCTGAAGATTTCGGACTAGGTCCAACAAAGCCTTTAAATGTTTGCACAAGTAATATCAGCAACATAATCACTAATTCAAGGAGGACTATCTCAAACAATTGCTATTTCTCCACTAATTGCTGATTCCTCACTTGCTAATCAACAGCTTCATGATAAGGGCTATAATTTAGATTTGTATCCCCACAAACTCCTTTTCTTGACAGACCCCTACACACACACAAACAAAACTTAAATCCTGTTCTCCACCTAAAGCTGCCTAATAAAGCCAGCTTAGCCTTGTGGATCTACATTCTTCAGAACGGAAAAAATCCCCAAAATGCCCAAATCCCCCAGGCCGGATTTCTCCTGGCGCGGCACAAGGATCTGGACCAGCAAAAGTGTAGAAAAGATATAAAGATGCAGAAAAGTACATTCTGAAGCTAAGGTTGAACTCTATCAGCAGCCTGTGAATGAAAGCTGAGAGTTTGCTTCGGCATGATTCTGCCCATTATTCTGAATTTCTATCACCTAAAGGAGTTCACATGTAAATCAAGATTAACTCAAGTATAATGTGTCTTGTGTTCATTTTAAGGCTGTTACCTTTTGTATGTAGTAAAGCTAAGATTTAGCAGGGCCAGTCAGGTGGACTTTGATATCCGTATCGAGCGTGAGGAGGTTAGGTTGCTTAGTGATCGTGCCATGGTTATATATGATCCAACAACCCACACACAGCTTAATGTGGAATGTACTCACCCAGGCTGAGACACTCAAATTGGTTTTTGTACCTTGTCAGGACATCAGGTCATACAATTGTCCCATATTTACAGTATTGTGCAAAGGTCAGAGGCCTCCCTTTTGCATGTCCACCCATCACCTGTAATGAAACTTCCATTCTTTCTTGGATACTTGCTTCAGTTGTTTAAAGAAATCAGCAGCAATATTCTTCCACTCTCCAAAGTCTTAGAAGTTGGTTGCATTTTCTGTTTTTCACGATCCAAGTAATCCCAAACACATTCAGTGATGTTAAGGTTTGGACTCTGGGGTGGTCAGTTCATTGTTGAGTTGTCTTCTCACCATAGAAGGATACACAGAAACCCCTGTGGATTTTACAGATCTGAAGAAAAAGCTTGATTTTCTCATCTCTGGTGACCGTTTTGACGATTTACCAGGTCTTGCACAGTTTCTTAATAACCTGAATTCCAGTTTTGGAAAGTCCAGTCATTTTCACATATTTCTCTTATCTCATGCAAGTGGACTGTCTTACATCCAATCAGAAATATTTGATATTTCTGATTGGATGTTATACATGAATAACTTGTACTTAATGGTCACTTTAACTGGAAATTAAATAAATGAAGGGCAGCCTCCGTCTTTGCACAGTACTGTATTATATATATTTATATATAAGTAACTACCTGTAGGCAATACGAATTTTTAAAGCCTAACTCAAAACCTCAACTTAACCTTAACCCCAGAAACCAAAAAGAAATGAAGCCGTAAAAAAAAACACTTTACGAAGTGAGGACAAGTGTGTCCCCACCTTGTAAGTTAGCCCTGTTTCTTATTTTTTGGTCCTGTGAATGTACAAAAACAAACACTCACAATTCTCCCAGATTAGGAAAGGCTTATGAAGTTTATGAAGCAAAAGTGTAAAGGTCAACAATCAGTAATCTCTGAGGTAAGAATTACCTTAAGTTTACAACCACACACACACACACAAACACACACACATAGAGTTTCTACCTGCTGGTTTCATGGTCTGTTCCGAGAGGCTCACTGTAAAAGCATGTGACTAGTGAGATGACTGAATAACAGACAACTCAGCAGAACTGAACCAAACCTCTCACACACACACTTCCTCATTCACACACTCACTCAGACAGACACACACACAAAAATCAGAATATGGCTCAAGGCCAAGCAGAAACAGGAAGGAACGGACTGCCCAATCACAAGCCCCAAGACGCCTGGTGGACAGACCAATCCTAATCCCATTTTCACTCTTGGAGGACATTACTCAAATGTGGCCACACCCTAAAGTCCTAAGTCCGGCTCAAAAGTTCCACTGTCAATAGCGTTGTGAAATACAGCCGTGTACTCGCTCCTTCTTCAGTCAGATGAAACTGTCCATAAAACATACGGCCAACAAAATGATACTCACTTCAAAAAAACAAAGATGTAACGAGGGTAAAACTAGCGGAAGGATTAAACTTTAAAAAACCTCTTACTACATATCAGATACTTATGTCTGATATATCAGAAGAGAACCTTGTATCTCCAAAATAGTAACTTTACAGGAGAAGGAAAAAACTTACTTTCCTTTAATGTAATTCAATGGAACCAGACTTTTTTCCAAGTAAATTTTGGTCATTTCTTTTAGTCTACTCATCATAAAATGTACAGACAATGTAAAGGGTATCAGGTGCTTTCAAATTATGTCAAAAACTGAAAAATGACAAAAATGGAGATATGAGGTTTTCTTCCTACAACAGCTATATCTTCAGTGTTTTCAGTTTTTTACTTTTTCACGTCATTTAAAGGCGATACAACTTTACATTGTTTGAAAACTTTAAGACAAATGGGTGAAAAGAACAAATATCACAAAAACATTCTTGCTTCTCTGAAAAAGTTACAACCGACGACATGTATAATACAGATGGGAAATAAGTACGACCCCATCTCCTGATATTGTGCAAAACCAAGAGTGTGTGTAAATCAGAAAAAAGACTTTTTCAAAAGCCAGGAGGGGAAAGGAAAGGCAGAATGTATCACAATGCCGCAGAAATGAAGAGGTAGGAGAAACAGAAGGGAAAAGGAATAAGGAATAATGGAAGATTGCCAGAGGTTGTGCAAGAGTAAAAGCTGGGGGGTGTAACAGAAAATATAAGTAGAGGATATGGAGGCTGTGAACTGTCCTAATGTACTGTAAAGTACTGTTAAGTGTGTGTGTGTGTATGTGTTTGAGCACGTGAGCACATGTCTGTTTGTTTCTGGAAGTGAAACTGTTAAGGTCCCTGTTCCGTTAAGAGATGCTGGGAACAGCTGGAAGTGAAAATCTGCTTGGGGGGGGAGAGAGAGAGAGAGAGAGAGAGAGAGAGAGAGAGTGAGAGAGAGAGAGAGAGAGAGAGAGAGAGAGAGAGAGAAAGGGAGAGATATGGTGGGGTTTGATCACTTTCCAGCCAACATGCAGCCTCTCAGTGTAGCTTGGTAAAGGTTGACCTTTATGTGTGTGTGTGTGTGTGTGTTTGTGTGTTTGTGTGTGTGTGTGCGTGCAAGGGAAACCTGAGGCTGCAGCAGGTGGATGATTAACTCACACAAATCACTGCCTACTTGAACATGGACGGACACACACACACACACACACACACAATGTTAAAAAATTTAACATTGGAATAAAACAGACAATGTGGCCTGTGCAAAAGTTATGGCACATTTTATATTTTATGTTTTTTTCCATCATGTTAAACTTAGCAAATAAATAGAAATGGTGCAGAAATTTGCAGAAAATGACCATATTTCATTTTTTTTTTTTCGCCCAGGAAATGACTTGTTAACTTATTCTCATTTCAATGAAAAAAAAATCAACAAAACATTTTGACGAGTGTTCGTGTTTCATTGTTTATAACTGTGGGACTTTTTGGTAATTGCTTTGGTATTTTACATATATGGGTATATGGGACATACTACCATTCAGACTAAGAAGTTTGATTTGGGTAGATTGTATTGAATTCCTACACTAACTACAACTGCCATTTCACAGTTCTACCAGGCCATTCCTCTTCTTGGGCTCCTAGTTACAGATGGCTATGGCATCAGTGGGGTTTAAACTCATGCCAGATGTCAGGACAAGTATTTAGACAGCTGTGCCAGTCATGGGCCCCTGAAGTTTCATAGTAACCTTAACTAGCAACTTTAAACAGTAAGTAACAGCAGACTTAAAATTTTAAGTTTCTTTAACATCAGATAACATGTTTACACAGCAGAGACTGTTCTTCTGTTAATTTACAATTTGGTAAATTTAAATTTTAGCCTAATAAAAAAATTGTTCAGGTAACAAATTTAAGTTGGATTTTTACATTGAATCACACAAATTTGGCTGCAGACAGATGAATAAAATGATTAAATTGTGCCAACTTCAGCTTTGAAATAATTAGTAGAAAACTTGTAAGTAAAAATGTAAAGATGTTAAATATGTTCAGAACTGTAAACAGAGCCACAGAAGATTCTAAAATGACTGAGAAAGCTTTACATCTTGGAGAACCAGTCTATATAAAATGAATATACAGAAATTATCCTATGTCAAATGTGGAGATCAAATCTCAAGGCAGACAACTTGATGTAAAAAACTATGTAAATAGATAATTACAGTATATCATTTATAGTATATTTACTTTTTCTTCACAGAATTCTTGAAATACTGGATAAAACATATAAACATTTTGGCAAATCATTTGCAACA